ATGAAAAAAATGTTTTCTTCCAAGATGTGATAATGATTTACATTTAACATTCATTATTAAAAATATTTATTAGTGTTGCTAGAAATATGAAAAGACGAAAATTATTATCAAGGAACAGCTAAATTATTTTGTTGAGGTTTGTTTCTATACTCTTTATTAAATTAAAAATGTTTTATTGTAATTTAATTATTCAATTATCTACCATTGTAGTAACCATGTTTTTTCTTTTTTTAAATACCAGATGATTTTGAAACTGTTCATTTTTTAAATGATGGATAAATCTTTACATATAAGAAGTGGGTAGTCCCACACAAATGTCTCCACAGGTCTTGTTATTCACCACACAAGAGCTACTTTTTTAATTAGTTGCTCCACTACTTCATGCATTGTCCAGAATTATTGAATAAAGAACACATAACCATTTATCCATTCGGGCGAACACTAGACAACAGATGACTGGTCGAGAGGGAGTAGCTAAATTAAAAATAGAATACGAAGAAGAGTTTTATTCCATTCCTTAATTGAATATTGCATCTTTGATCTGACAACTCGAATCTTGCCCCAAAAGAGTATGTTGAATGGTAAGAAAACAATATTTTCTAAGATTATCCAACATGTGCAACTCATCCAATATGTGCAACCGATTTCATTTATTCTACATTATAAAAGAAATATCATCAGATACAAAGTGTGTCACACCTCAGGTAACTATTTCAAATTTTGAATTGCAGAGAGATTTAAAACCAGCCTTAGCAAGATCTTCTCTTTTCACAAGATATGGATATTTCAGAGCTGGGCAGAGTATTGTGTTAAAATAATTCACAATGAATAGCTTTACAAAGTACTCATAAATAAAGTATCTGAGTTTGATATAAAGGGTGGGCCATTTATATGTTGAATTATAAATTAGCAATGAGGACAAGAAAAACTTTTTTTTTCCAACAAATTTAACTTTATTTAATACAATATTTCTTCCGATTAAGTATGAAAAACTATTTTATTTAAGTGGCCACTTCGACTGGCTTGGCAGTAGCCCATCCTGGAACACCAATTTTCAAGCACTTTTTCAACAGTTTGCTGCTCTATTTGAGCAATTTGAGCTTGCATGTTCTATTTTAAGTGCTCAATTGTTTGAGGATTATCCGCATAAACTTTATCCTTCAATGCACCCCAAAGAAAGAAGTCGATTGGTGTTAAATCGCAGCTCCGAGGTGGCTAATTAACATCTCCGAAACGGCTAATTACACGATTATTAAATTTTGTGCGCAAAAGAATGATGGTGGCCGCGGCGGTATGGCAATCTGCGCTGTCTTGTTATAACCAGACCTGATCGAGACTGATATCATCCAATTCCTGCCACAAAAAGTTCATTATCATATCTCGATAGAGGTCGCCATTGATCGTAATGGCGCGGCCAGCCTCATTTTCAAAGAAAAAGAGTCCAATCACGCCGCTACTCCAAAATCCACACCACATAATAACTCGATCTGGATGCATGGGCTTTGTTACGACGACGTGTGGATTTTCCGTGCCCCAAATCTTTGAGTTTTGTTTGTTAACATAACCTCTGATGTGAAAATGCGCCTCATCCGAAAAGATGATTTTTCTTGCAAAATCAGGGTAATCGTTCAACTGGTTTAGAGCCCACTCAGCAAAGCGAAAACGGTGTAGATGGTAAACTTGCTTCAACTTCTGAACGAGCTGGACTTTGTACGCAAACATACCGAGGTCTTTGTGCAGAATCCTCCTCAGAGTAGTACGGGAAAGGCCAAGATTTTGACTTCTGCGCCGAGTTGATGTTGACGCGTCCACCAGCATTCCAGTTTTTCGCACCTTATCAATAAAATTCTTAATGCCTTGGTTTGAAGGCGCCTCATTTCTTCCAAACTTTGTACGCAATTTTCGCGTCGTCTCGGCAACTACAGAGTCACACTCAAAATAGGTTTTGAGTATTTCAAAACGTTGATCTAGACTAAAGCGATGCATTTTCGGTTAGCGGAAGGATAAAACTAATTTACTGTCAACAATTAATGACAGTCAAATTGCCAACAAAAAGTCGATTTCAAAAGCAAGAAAAAAGTATTTCTGACATCAATCAACAACCATATTAAATTTTATTTGACAGTGTTATTTCGTTTTAGACACACATTTCAGATCACAATAATGTAAAATTTGCGACCATCGTCTCGGACCAATAAAAAAATTACGTCTATGACATTTATTCGTTTCTTAACCGCTCATTGGCCGTTCACCGACTAAGGCCGATAAAGATAACTATTTCATAAATTTTGAACACGACTATATTTCAAAACTCGCTCTTAGTAACAAATCTAGTTACTTTTCCCTGTGTAAATGTGTCTTTTCAATTCGCTCCTCCTAGTTTAAAAACAGAGTATAGTAATAGTAAGTCAGTAAGTAACGAACAAAAAACGAGAGTATCACTAATCTTCTATAAATTAGTTAGCACTTACCATTAACGTGTACGCTCAAATTTTCATTTTAATATTAAAGTAAAGTAATAAAGGTATTAGGTATGGGCACATATACAGATAGAGAATACCCAAAAGATCAGCCATATATTTTAAAACAAAGTCGCAGGATTATGCCCTATGTATCATTTCATCATCCTGCAAATTTTCAACATTATCACGTTTTGGTTATGATATTTATTTGGTTCCGTACTTTATCCCAACTATGTATGTTGCCATGACTCCGTAATTTGATATATTCTTATTGCGACGTGAAACCGATTCTGTACCCTGCCCGCGATAGGAAGTCTAGCGCTGGCCATATCGAAACCCATCTCGAAACTTAAGAAACCGATTTGAATGATTTCCATCGCAGTCTTACGCGTGTAGGATAATTTCTAGAACTTCCAGACTGAGTTGGTTCTTTGGAAAGTAGAAGAAAACAGCAAGAGGAGACCAGGCAGGAGAATAGGAGATATAGAAAGTCAGGAGTTAGAGCAGAAAGTAGAAGAACAGGGAGCAAGAAGAAAGAAGCGAAGCGAAAGATTTATAAAGGAGGCTTAATCCTAAAAACTCTAGGATACTGGAATGGTTTAACATTTCCAAGGGGGAATGATTATAATATATATGCACACGTCGGTACTCGTTTCTCGTCAGCTGTAGGAATAAAAAGTACTGAGTACTCTAAAATAAAAATTACTCAAAATTTTTTGAGTATAGGTCCCATCAGGATAAAAATACTCACGAGTACCAATTACTGAGTACTTCGAGTAATCGAGTACAATTTACTCGAGTACTGCCCAGCTCTGGATGTTACATTATATTTTTAATAATAAAAAATAAAACACTCATACTGGGTTAGTCCAGCAAGAATGTATGTTTATATCAACTATACAGAATGAGATCAGATTTATTTTCAGAACAGTCTTAACATGTTTACGTAAAGTAATTCCAGTGTTTTAAAATATACTGAGGACAGACTGGATAGATATATGATCGGTGTTTATTCTGTTACCCGATCTAGTTAGGTAAGATACTATTTTGACAATTTCTACACCTCCAAAATTACATTGAGGTTAACGATCCATTTTTTTTCTGGAGTTGAATTCCGAGAAGATCGTCCACCGTCTGATATTTCAAGGATTTGAATTTATTGACACCTTGTTCATTCAAATTTACATTCTGGCAAAACATCTTTAAATAATTAAAATCGGATGGATGGATATACATGGATTATATTTGATATTTAATAATATGTCATTATATAAAAAGGGGCTCCTTGGTTCATCCTTGAGGATTAAGATGACACAACGAGATACGTCCATGGCCATATGAACACATTCCATTTAGAAAGCAGCATGAAAAATAAATTAAAACGGGATAAAAACAATGGAAATAAATTAGTTCTAGAGATTATGCTATCGCGTTTTCGAAACAGAATGGAGTTCCGAACTTTGTACATTTTTTTACAGGGAAAATTGAATTTATGTTTAGTTATTCTCACTTCAAAGAAACGATTTATTAGCGAAACATGTAACCAGGATATTGAAATTTTTTGCTATTGATGTTGACTCAATTTAGAGAAATAGTAAGGGAGACGATATTTGTTAGATTATTGATTATCTTCTTGTTTGAATTCTTTATCATTCATATCTTATTGGGTCACCTATACGGTGGCTTTCATAAACTTGGACACATATGTGAATTTTTTTGCAATAATTTTGTAAAAAAAAATTAATAATTCCAACTTCTCAAATCCAAAATGTATCGTTTTTGATAAGTGGAGCTTCTGATTTAAACACCAATAATTTTTCTAGATATCTTCACTAAAAATCATCAATTTGATTATTTCCACTTAAACTTTAATCAATCCGTATCCGTAATAACAGGAAACTAAAGTAGACATTAATTTAAAAAGCCAGCTCTGATATAAAATTAAATTTGTATTTGATAACAAACTGGGGCTATTAAAACATAATTATAAAATAAACGAATATTAGTAATAAGATTATAAATATTACAAAACCTTGTATAAAATCTCTGAATTTGTAGATTAAATCCTGTGAACTACTTTTACTGAATAATTGGTAAAAAACACCCAGTAACCTTCAATTTAAAATTTTACAATTTTAATAATAAATAGATCAAGTGAAGCATTTATGATTATGAAAACCTGGTCAGGATAAATATGCAATTTTATTTTAACCTAAATTATTTAGGATTGAAAAACTAAGATACCACTCACTAGTGTCGAATTATTTACACTACCGTTAGCATGTTTCAATTCCGTCATCTATCTCGGCACCATGGCCAAAATAAGAAGTTCTGATTGGTTGCATTGTATCGGCTGAGTGGGTGCCGAGATCACGGTCGGAAATGACTGTCGAGTGCTGAGATCAAAGACAGAACTAAAATCAGCTAAAAGCGTAATTTTCTATGAAAATAATGATCACACGCAATGTTTAATTAACACCATTTTATTAAGTGATCGGAATAAGATACCTACATAAACAAATTAACAAGAACAAAAAATTAATAACTCGTAGGGCAATACAAATCAATGTCCTGTTGTGTTTGGGACATTATTGTCAACATTAATGTGCAAATTTTCGGTCGTTTGATTTTTGTTCGTTTTGAAGAATCTTTCGAAGGCCGACGACCTGTGAAACATTTTGTTCCTTGAATTAAAGTCGTTCTTCGGCTTATTGTTGTAGGTTGTACTTTAATTGTGGCACTGGATGTATGTCTTCTAGGCAAATAACTACCAACAGTAGCTAAATAAGAATCCCAAGCCATGCGATTCAAAATTTTGTTCAAGCATTGTATGCACATATTTATTATCTTTGGAGAAGTGCCATATGTATTATGATTCATAAGTTTCGGGAATTCTATTTTTGAAAAATCGTTATTTTCTTCTGAAGCTGACAGCAAATTTGTTTTTGGTTCAATATTTATGCTTCTTTCGTTATTTGGTGCAGATTCCAAAGCTGATGTTAATGGAATTTCTGTTGCTCGTAATGGCGCATGGAATGAAATAGACATAACATTTTCTTCGCCAAACACAAGTTTAGCCATTAAATACTTTGATTGTGCCGTAATAGCGGGTAAATTGGGAAAATGTTCTTGAAAATGCTCATAAACTCCTGCTTGGTGTTTGCAAAACTTGCCTAATCTTCCTATTTCACAAGAGCAAAAACCCAGTGTCACCTAGACATCGTACATTATTTCTGGATTACTTTTGCTTGGCACATTTTCATCCAACTTAATTATATCCTCTTTTTTTAAATAGAAACATTTCAGTAATTGATGTCGCAAAAGAAGAACTGAGATAATCCCCTAAAAAATCATAGCTAATCTCCAGAAGCCAGTTAGCTTGTGTGGAATTAAGGAATTATACCACCTTCACTATTCACATTGAGTACAATTGAAAATAAGTTAACCACCAAGTTCTTTTTGGATATGCTTATTTGTGGACAGTAGGTAGACTTTTTTTTACAATTATATAAATATTTAACAAAAAAAAACATCAGTTTGCCTTTTAACTTTCTTCATATTAACTATTACATTTTAAATTTAAATTTCAATATATTTTCCACAGTCATCCTCTATTTGTAATTTTTAATTAATTTGTTAACTTGACAATAAACATATCACAGCTCAACACGTGGCGCGTATGTGAATAATATCTACAGTCAATTCCAACTACCATCTGAGCACTCCGCAGTCATTTCCGACCGCGATCTCGGCACTTAGTCGATGCAACCAATCAGAACGTCTTATTTTGGCTATGGTGCCGAGACAGATGACGGAATTAAAACATTCCTACCGTTAACATACAGGCCCAATTAAAACAGTCCACCTGGAATATTTTCCTAGAATATTTCAAGGGGGACTTCTTTTGATCTCTAATTCTTGGATGTAGGTTCATCCCTCTGAACGGGGTGGCAACCCCTTCAAGAATACTAAATTGTGTTCCATTTACTTCCATGCAGTAATGAAGTCATTGTTCAACGTGTTTCCGAACATTTCGGAGCATTTCATGGGTTATTTCTCCACATGCTTGCATTATTCGGTGGCGAAGATGTAGGTTTCGTCTTATACACACTTTTAAAATAACTCCACAAAAAAAAAGTCCAATGGTGATAGATCTGGCGATCTTGAGGACCATTCAATGAAACCCCTTCTACCAATCCAGTGTTGGGGAAAATGTTAATTTAAAAAGTCACGTACATACGCTGCTTAGTTTGCCAGAGCGCCATCCTAATCAAAAAATAAATATTCTGGGATCTGATCGTCGTTTTCGAGAATCTCCACAATGCGAGGGTAGATCAAATCTTTAAGCAAATTGAGGTAAGACTAACCCGTCAATTTACCAGGAAAAAAAAAGGTACCAACAATATTATTTTCCAAAATCCCAGCTCATACATTCAACTTTTCTGGATGTGAATGCTGTTTTCTCATATTTCGTGGATTCGAATCACTCCAGTATCTGCAATTATGTCTATTGACGTTGCCATTAAGAAAGAATAAACATTCTTTAAAAAAGCATGTAGAATATAAAAATTTAGAATTGCTTGAAATTCTTTCAACCATCTCCTCACAAAATTGGATACGGCGATATGGATCATCTTCATTCGTGCACAAGATGAATCCTACAGGGATGGAATCGATGCTTTTTTTAAATTCTCTTAAGATTACTATGTGGAATTCCTGAAATGGCTACTATTTTTCTGGTGCCTAAAGTAGGATCGAGTTTAACATGAGCCAAAATTGCAACTTAACTTGTGCAGCCTCGTTAATAACAGTTTGTTGCTTTTCATGTTCTTTGTTAGCAACGGATCCGGCCCCCATGAATTTAGTTATTAAATTGACTACGTAGGGATGCATAAGTTTTTACCAGGACGCCTTTTATTAAAAATTGTTGCAGTTTTCCATTTTATTGTTTCTAAAATAAAGTGCAATAATTTCAATTTGTTCTGCTGTGGTGTAAACCATAATTTGGATCGTTTGCTTCAAGATAGTGGCTAATAGCAAATAAGAGAATTGTTCTACACTAGACTCTCTAGATAATAATTGTGATTAGTGTAAAATCAGAATGCAACTACCTGTAAAACCGTAAAAAGAAATCGGTCACATTATCAAGGCTTCTCTAATTTTTTATTGGTTTATTTCATCGACACTCTCAACAGGTGTTTTACAATAATTTTAACACAGGAAAAAAAATGTCAGCATGTTTAAAATATCTTTAAAATGATGTGCGGCTTGACCCCTCAAGTCATTTAGTATTTTTGAAGGGGATGCCACCACGTTCAGAGAGATGAACCTACATCCAGGAATTGAAGATCAAAAGAAGTCCCATTTGAAATCAAATCGATCGGTTTCGGGGACTTTCCAAGAAAACTTCTTCTAGGAAAATATTTCAGGTGTACTGTTTTAATTGGGCCACCCTGTCTAACCTTAAACCACACTATACTCTGCTCTTATCCAACATTACAGAACCAATAAAAAAAGGCTTGGTTTTTTGTCTTTTTATTAGATTAAATAAATCGAAGCAATCATTGTTCTTGACTAATTACTGGCAAATTTTACTATTATATTTTTAACAGTCTCCACCTTAAGGTTCTTGTATTGTAGCAGTACCAGGGTGCATTGACGATGTTTCTCAATACTTTTTTTAAATACATTGAATAACTTGGATGCTATTTTGACTGGCACATCCTCAAAGCTTTCTGTCTGTAAAGGAGCCGTTTTTTATATACAGGATGTAACTAAATAAGTGTTAAACATTTAAGGGGGTGATTCCTCATCGAAAAAAAGATAGGATCTTCCATTTTTCTGTTTTATTTTTTTTTGAAATTTCCTTAGTTACTTATATCATCAACATATACATAAACTTTTTTTTAGTATTTAAAATTAGATTTTTTTAGGTTTACATTGTGTAATGTTAATATGGATCCTTATATAAGAGACTTTAATTTGTCTGAGATTACTACCTTTGTAGCTGACACTGTTGATGTATCCAAAAATTATTTGAGACTACTTTTCAATTTTCCACACCAATATCAGAAGTGTTGGGAAACATTACAATCCTTTAAAAATTTTGTTAGATCAATACAATTCATTTTTTGATAATATAGTATTAACGGAGACAAGAATATTAGAAAATCTTCAACTATTTAATTTGAAAAATTATAATTTAATCTACAACGAAGGTAGAGTCGACATTACTGACGGGGTCTTAGTTTATATTAATAATGATTATAATTTTGGGACATACATTATCGATATTGCTGGCATTACATGTATACGAGTATTTTTAAATATTGAAAGTAAAACCATGGGAATTACATGTATTTATAAACCTCATGATATTAAAACTGAGGACTTTATAAATTCATTAGCTAACTATTTACAAAATACCTCACTGAAAGATACAGAAGTAATTGTAGGTGACATAAATATCGACATATTAACCCCATTGGAAGAAGCAAACGAATATCTAAATGTTTTATACGAATTAGGATTTAAGTCTACTATCAATTTTTATACCAGAATTGAAAAAAACTAGAAAAGTTGCTCAGATCACATCTTCTTTAAGAGTAATTTTATTGACTCTAATCTTTTAATTCCAGTCATACTACACTCAAAAATCACAGATCACAGCCCTACAATTCTTCAAATTAATAATTCATTAATAAATAAAAAAAAAAATAAGAAACAAACCTAATTTTGTAACTAAGAATTACATTAATTTCAATAAACTAAGAACTTCTTTAAATGACAAGTCTTTTGCTGAAATATTCCAAACTAATAATGTTGAATTGGCTACAAATAAGTTTATAAATATTGTTAATTCAAGCGTAGCAACAGCCACAACATCTGCAAACCCCAAAAAAAAACCATCGATAACTGACGGAATAATCCAATCCATAAAAGAAAGAGATAGACTATTCAAAGCATATAGGAAGTATAAAACTGAGGAAGCCTTTAGGACATATAAAATACATAGTAACAAAATGAACAATTTAATACATCAGGTAAAACAAGACTATTACAAACATTTAATATTAAATATTCAAAAAAAAGTAAAAAAATTTGGGAAGCCTTTAATGAATACATTGATAAAAGTTCTGTACATCTACTTGTATTCCAGAACTTTTTGATGGAGCTGGAAAACGCGAAACAGACAAAACAAAAATAAGTGAAATTTTCAATACTCACTACATATAAGTAGGAAAAAGCCTGGCAAAACATATAACTGATAATAAAAAGGTAGCTTTCACTGACTGCGCCACGGTATACAATAAAAATACAATTTTCCTAAAGCCGGTCATAGAACGAGAAATTAAAGAGAACATATCCTTAAAAACAAGTGTATCTCCAGGGATATCATCCCCTCTTACTTATTTAATTAATTTAATGTTTGAGCAGGGTATCTGCCCGTCACAGATTAAAGTAGCTGTTATTAAACATCCATTTAAAAAAGGGGAAAAAACCAAAGCTGAAAATTATAGGCCTATAAGTCTACTTTCAAATGTGGCAAAAATAATTAAAACTAGAACTACCAATTTTGTTAAAAAAAATAATTTGTTAAGTAACATGCAATTCAGATTTAGAGAACAACAATCAACAAATGATGCCATTGCTTGTGTTACTAAAAAAAATTCCGAAAGCCTAGGTGAGAGTAAGAAGTGTGCATGTATATTTATCGACTTGGCAAAAGCATTCGATACTATAAGCCACCAAAGGCTTTTGTCAAGGCTTTATAATATTGGAATCCGAGGAAATGCACATACGCTATTAAAAAGCTATCTTACTAATAGGACGCAATTGGTAAAGGTAAATGGTCAATGGAGTACAACCAAAGAAATCATATATGGTGTTCCGCAGGGAACAGTACTAGGACCTATCTTATTCATCTTATATTTTAATGAACTATTCTCCTTAAAAACAGAAGGCACAGTGATCTCTTCTGCTGATGACACTGTACTGACTGTTGAAGGTAGGACGTGGGCGGAAGTCGAAATTAGGTTGAAAACCGACTTAAAAAAAGTAATACATTGGTTTGATGAAAA